CCTTACCCCCCCCCCCCCCACTGGATTAGGTGAAGCAATTAAACAAATTCTTTGTTCCTTTAAGTGCTTCTTCCACTATGTTTATTAGTGTTTCTTGTTAGGTCATCATTTTGTTATAAATCTCTGACTCAAGAAGTGTGTTTTTGTGAAAAGAGGGAAAAAAATGAAAACCCATATTTGCTTTCACCTTATTCTCTTGTTTCTCTGCATACACAGCCTCCAAACCTTTGTCCATGGAGCTGGAGAATGTGGGAGAACTTCCCCGGATAGAGAAGCCATAAAGCTGGCACCTTGCGCCATGGCTGCTCAAGACCAGAATTCTCGGGTTTCTGTAACTTGTTGCGATCGGGTTAGACAGATCGGGAAAAGCCCTAAATGCCTCTGTGCTGTAATGCTTTCGAATACAGCTAAGAGCTCTGGAGCAAAGCCCGAGATCGCCATGACCATTCCGAAACGCTGCAACATCGCTGATCGCCCCGTGGGTTACAAGTGCGGAGGTAACGTTTTTCGACTAAAACCCGCTTTTGCAAAATGCAATTGAGTATCTATGGTTGTCTTGCTCTTACAAACCACATGTGTCTTGTTGCAGCTTATACTCTGCCTTGAAGCAGCAGAAGAGAAGACGATAATGAATCTTATGAAGAGAGAGAGATGCATGGTGTTTCCCCTTTGGACAATAACGAGTTTGTTTTGTGCCATAAGCTTTCAGTATAACTATGGTGATAATCTTGATGTAAATAGTGTAATGAAGCTTCAAGAGCAAATGTTCCATGTTAATAAAGAGAATGACAGATGAGCTTAGTGGTGATTGAAAATAAGGGTTAACAAATTGAGAAATATAAATGCAAAATGAATATGAAAATAAGAAAAAAAATCATTTTTGTAAATAAATAAGGATTCAATATAAAAAGCTAATGGCTTCTCTTTAGTGCAATGTGCCATATACTTTTGGAGTTTTTGATAGCGTGAGACAGAAGAGGAAGAACAAATGTAAAGGAATTGTTACTAACTTACTAATGGCTAATTGTTTTTAATCACCACTATGAATTGTTTTCTTAATTCTTAATTAAAAAATACATCCAAAATATTTATTTATTTGGATCCGTAGATTAGTAAAATTTATTGGCGTAAACATATTATAAAAAGTTCTATACGAAAACATCATTCCATCTCTAAGCGGATTATTAATTGGAAATGATCTATTTCCAAATTAGATTAGACTTTTTAAAAATTTATTGGACTAGTTATTATTAATAAAAGCTAGAATTGCTTAAAAGACAAATCATAAAACAAATCAAGCAGTAGAACTCGAGTGGTTGGGTGGCCTATCTGATCTCAAGATTACTTATTTGTGTATATAAAATATATATTTAAATTACTTCTTTGGATATATATATATATTATTAAATTTCATTTCCTATCAATTGTATAAAGAGAAAAAAAACCCACAAGTAGAAACAGCATTTTTTTTTTACAACGGAGGAGGAGAGCCCTAATCATCAATCGTGCAAGTGCCCGAAATTCATTTTAATTTTTAATTTTTAAATTCTCATTTTCTTCTTGTAGGGTTCGAAATTCTTTTGGTTCTTTCTGCAGGGGAAGAAAAGCTTTCCTGCATTGTCCTTTTGACTTCTCCCGAGAAAATTCCGGCTGGAAGAGAACGGCGGCCGTGGAGATGATGAACTTGGTGGAGCCTTCGTGGCGTCTCCTGGCGGCGAGCGGCGGAGACACGGTGAAGCTCTTCGACGTCTCCGCCGAGCCCGGCGATCCCTGCATTCTGAGTTATACTCCGACGCTTGGTTGTGCTGTCAACTCCGTCAAGTGGAACCGTACGAGTAAGCACCGATTCATCGCGTTTGTTTCTCCATTTTCACTGGTTTGCTTGTTCGGTGAGAGTTAGGCGACAAAGTGAAGTGCTGTTTAGCATTTTCCCGTTCGATCTTAAGGTTTACAGTAATTTAACCGAGTTTAAGGAGAAGAATTATAGATTTTCCTTTGGTGTGCTGCGCGAGTTGAACTTGGAAACTTCGAGTTCATATTGGTCATGGGTTGAGAACGGGAATTGACCTCTATGAGATCTAATCTCCCGTTGTTCCTTAGTAGTTCAGTGGTAAAGCGGTCGGCTGTTAACTGATAACCACTTTAGTCGTAATGATACCTCTTAATGGTCAAAGTGAACCCGTTCATTCTGACATTCTGAATTCTTTAATTCGGAATGAATCAAATCTCCCCAAGTAGGATTCGAAACTGAATTTGTGTTCACTTTAGTGGTTTTGTTGGAAATTGATTGCTTCATTGTTTGATATCTATGTTTTACACAGTTGTGATTTAAGTTCGAAACCATTAGTTAAATTGATGATATTGCTATCTGCATGTTTGGTGTTATAGTGATGTTCTTTATGCATTGCAGATTTGGTTGTGGCGAGTGCGGGGGAAGATAAGAAGATATCACTGTGCTGGAAAAACGGCCAGAGCATAGGAACCATTCCGGTTACTGGAAAGGACAGCAGTGACAGCATTGAGGTTAATACTGTTCTTTAGATGTGTTTTTCTCTTTGGCAATGCTGATTTCCATGTTTTTATTCTGCATTTCGAACTTATAGCTATTACACTGTGTCCTTTCCGTGGGCAATAAGTATAGGTAGGAGGAGATATTCACCTTGTTGTAGACCCTTTCAAAATGTTAACTAGTGTGTAACAAAATCTATTTAGTTTTCATCAAAAATCAGCTTTGGATTTAATCAGGTACTGTCTGCACAATGTGTTTTATTGTCATAACGGTATAGTCACTCTTATGTTATGGATCCCGGTTTCTTATGCCCTTTATATTCCCCATTTGAATGTTTTTCGGTGTATAAGAACGCTGAGTTTTTATGCGCTAACTAATGCACAAAATGATGGAATTCAGGAATCTATATTAGCTATTAGCTTCAGTAACAAGGGGTCCAGGTATATATGTTCTGGAGGAACTGGTCAACTTGTAAGAATATGGGATCTGCAAAGAAAGCTTTGTATTAAGAAATTGAAGGGTCATACAAGTACGATAACCAGTGTTATGTACAATTGCAAAGATGAGCATTTGGCTTCTGTCAGCGTTGGGGGGGATCTGATAGTCCACAACCTTGCATCTGGAGCAAGGGCTTCTGAACTCAAAGATCCAAATGGGCAGGTTTAGTTTGTCTGTTTTCCATGCTTCCATCTATAGTTTGGTGTCATTTTCTTAACACTAATTGGCTTTCTGATCGATTCAAGACCAGGTATTAAGAGTGCTTGATTATTCAAGGTCCAGTCGTCATCTTCTGTTGACTGCTGGTGATGATGGGACCCTGCACTTGTGGGACACAACCGGTCGTAATCCAAAGGTTTGTTCTTTCACTCTTCTGGTAGACATGTATTAAATGATGCACAATCTTCCATTTTCGCTCTCTTGCTAGTGCTTGGATCTAAAAAGATTTCATGAACTTGTAAAATTAGAGCTATATGCTTGACTGAGGGTTTTATCTAAAAACTACTTGACACTTAAATAATCATCAGAACTTCGGCTGCATTTAGAGCTTGATTTGTAAAGTCTTTGTGTTCACTTCAATCGTATATTATCTGTGATGGTTTTATTTCATTTCCACAGATGTCTTGGTTGAAGCAGCATTCTGCCCCAGCTGCAGGTGTATCCTTCTCGCCATCAAACGAAAAGGTCTCGTAATTTTATGGTTTGATTCTTGCTTCTTATTCACAGTAAATTCAGATGGACATGTGTAGATATCTGATCTATACACAGGTGAACATGTATCATTATGCTTATATTAGCTTCTCTGATGATCATTTATATGTAGCTTATAACCACAGTGACTAAATAAACTACAATGCTGATTATTTGTCAATAACAGATAATTGCTAGTGTGGGACTGGACAAAAAGCTTTACACTTATGACTCTGGCTCCAGAAGACCTTCATCATGCATTACTTATGAGGCGCCTTTCTCTTCCTTTGCATTTGGGGATAATGGTTACATACTGGCAGCTGGAACTGGTAATGGTAGAGTGGTGTTTTATGATGTCCGTGGAAAGCCGCAGCCTGTCACTGTTCTGCATGCTTACAGTAGTTCAGAGGTCAGTTTTTTTTTTTTCCCGTGATGCATTCAGTTTAGCATGTCTGATCAAAGTAGCTATACTTGCATGGATCATGTCTATTGGTCACACCGTTCATGTCTGGTTTGTTTTGTTCTCCTATCCATGCAGGCAAGCCACTAGCAGCAAAAACGCCTTTTCTTGTAACAATGATTTTTGTGACTTTCATGCTGACATGCCAAACTAAGCTTTGCTTTATTCGTCAGGCTGTGACTAGTTTATCCTGGCAAACATCAAAACCAACAATTGTGAACGAGAAAAATTGCACTGCCGAGGTGTCTCTTCTTGGTGCTACTGTGGAAGATTCAGTTGTAATTCCCGACCCCCTTCCCTCAACGACATCCTCTGCTTCTCAATCCATTCTTGGGCCCCGTTTGAATCTATCGTTAGCAGAAGAGACACCGAATAGAAGCAATCTGTGGCCCGGTGTTCCACCGAGCAGGTTACATGCAACTTGGGCCAGTAATAGTTTTAAGGATGATATGGAAGTGTTTTCCCCTCTCGTTGATGTGTCATCAGTTGAGAAGCTGTGGAATGATTCTGAAGGGTTGAAGAAGGATCATTTTGTTGTCGATAAGAAACCTTCTTCCTTGCTATATTCTTCATCGAGCAGGAGATTTCCCTTTGGGGATGAGGGTTTTGATTGGAAAGCAAGTTCTACTTCTAAACAGGTTTGTGTTACTTCATCCTTCCATAAACACTAGATGCCCTAGTTTATATTATTGGCTAATCCCATCGTTTCCGAAGAAATACATTTGAATTTTCATCCCATGTGTCCCTTGTATCCTGTAGGATGATGTGAGAGCTGGTATTTTGTCATTCGGGTCTACTCCTAATGCATCGTCCAAAAGCGAAGAGACTGCAGTGACACCTCCAGAAGCTTGGGGTGGCGAGAAATTGTCTGACAAGTTTAACCACGTAGCTGGCGAGAAGTTTGCGGATAAATTTAACCACCTTCACATACCTTCACGTCTTGGGATTCCAAGCTCAAGTGCTGCTACTACTACATCTGGATCCATGTTTTCCAGTTCTGGGGATTTCTCCTCGTCATCACTCAGTCAGACTGTGTTTCCTCGCATCAGAGACTTCTCTTCGAATTCCGAGACATCTTCGACACCTACCGACAACATGTCTTCTAGCCCGTTACTAACAAAAGGCATCATCACGGGGCCAGCTAACATTGATCCGTTGAGGCTATCGTCGAATTTTCCTCGTAGGTTCTCAACTTACGCGGAGAGAATCAGCACTGCATCTTCCTTGAGCGACGGGGCCTCTCTCTCCTTGGGTTCACCAAAGATAAAGAAAACGGGAGCAGAAACAAGAGAGGAGGTTCTAAATAATCTGTTGCCGAGATCTGAAATGACGGCTGCAACAGAACCGGGAGCTATTCCGTCCATGAATGTATGAATTTCCGATTGGACAGCCCTCGTTTTTTCTTTTCTAAACGCCCTCGTTTTCGAGAACTGGGGCACTTCATTGAACTTTTGGAAGCTGTAGCAGGGAGGGGGCTTGGTACCCTCGACGGAATCTCAGCGGGGGAGCAATTTTACGCTTCAGCTCTTTCAGAGAACCCTCGAAGAGACTCTCGATTCTTTCCAGAACTCCATACACGACGACATGAGGAACATACATATCGAGATTCTAAGGCAATTCCACTTGCACGAGGCACGTTTTCTTCCTTCTTTGATGATACATGCGGCCGTAAGCTTTTTTTTTGTTTTTGGATGTTTTGAGAATATATATTTTTTTTGGGTTTATGAAACAGATGGAAATGTCGAAAGTATTGAATTCGATGCTGGAGAATCAGGCGGAGCTAATGAAAGAGATAAAGTCGTTGAGGAGAGAGAACGGCCAGCTCAGACAGATGATTTAAGCCTTAAGAGAAGGTTACGTTTCCTTCTGGTGTATGTTTGTTGTTACGTGGCCCCCCTTTTTATTTATGTATTTGGTCTTGTTGGTATCCTCTTATTCATGATAGGGATTAGGGGCCACCATTTTTTTTTTGTGTGTGATATACATATGCATGCTAGATTTGGTTAAGAAACAGTAGCTCTTGGCTTAATAGAACCAGGTGAGATTTCAAATACAAACCTCTTGGCTTATGTATGGGAACGCATCGTCAACTCTGTATTTTCCGAGTACCGAATCTTGAATATCTGCGAATGTCTCAAACGTTCAGGTATCAAGAGGTCGAGTCATCAATCAAAGTCAAGGGTCGAGGCATGAGAAGAAGGTTATAGGTCAAAAGCAGAGGGAGTATAAATGCGAGTTGACGAAAGTATAATCTTGAAAAGTATTATTGTTGTGGATGGTTTAAAATATAGAGAGGAGGCCATACGCGATTGGGGTCGAGGAAGTGGTCTCCTTGATCATTTTCTGACTAAAAATCTCAGCACGTCTCCCACAAGATGTAACGAGCCCGTCACAAGCACCCGGGTTTTTTTTTTCCAGGGAAAAGGAAAACGATTCATCATTCAGAAACCCCACCAAAGACAGATCCTGTCCATGCGTCAAAGCAGTTACCTGGAGACAAATGGAGGAGCCGCTGCTCTGGAGAAGGAAACTCTCTCTCCTCGGCCATTTGACCGCTTGCGGTAGAGAAGAGACACCAAGCTGTTCTCCATATTCTTCTTCAGAGAGGAGAGAGAGGAATCTGAGAAGAGAGAAAGGGGAAAGTGGGTGGTCATGGAGGTGCCGGAGCGTTGCGATGATTTTTTGAATCTTGTCTACTAAACTTTAGTGAAACCAATAAATTGTCTGGGTGGTGTAGTCGGTTATCACGCTAGTCTCACACACTAGAGGTCCCCGGTTCGAACCCGGGCTCAGACACGATTTTTATTTTATGGATTTTTTTTGAATTTTTACATATTGGAATACATGTGGACGACACGTCATCGGTGACACGTCGACACGCCGAGTCATCTCGCACGACGGGAAAATCCACACGTGTGTACCGATTCGCCTTTCCCTGTCTTAACCCATTGGGAAAAGCTAAACGAAAACCGAGAACCAAACATTCGCGAGAGAATCGAAATCCAAGAATCGCAGCAAAATAATTTCGATCAAGAGACAATAACCCATCAATCCCTTTTTTTTCCCCTCGAAAAAATCCAAGCGAAAGTCGTTTCTTTTCGTGTCACTGTTCCGGGGAGAGAAAGAAGGGGGGATGGATTGGGACAACGTAGCTGGTGAGGATGTGATCGAGGCGTTGAGGGAGGTCGAGTGGTCGACACCTCCTCGTCCTTTGGGCGAATTCTTCTCCAGATTCGCTTTCCCTCGCTCCTTCTCCAAATTGACCAGTCGCCTCAAATGCAATCTATACTAGTATTATTACCCCTTCTCTGTACGTGTTTGCCCTCTGCGTGTCAGGGTTTTGATTGCTTTTTGTTCTCTTTACTTATTTTTGGTTGCAGCTATAGGACCAATTACTTCATCTTGGTGATTTTCGTTCTGGGTAAGCCGTAGCTCCTTACCTTTTTTTTTTCGCGATCTGGGTTTTGATTAGATTAAGATCCTGTTGAGTTATGTTAATTAGGGTGATTTTGTTTTGGTGGAGCAGGTCTTGCGTTAATTACCAGACCAGTGGCTATCATTGGTGCTGCTCTTACAGCATTGGGCATAGCTTTCCTTAACGACAGGTGTTTCCCCTGATTTTGCTTGTTCCCAATTTTATCTCTACTAGTACTGTGGAGATGCATTTGTTGCTCGTTGGAATCATGGAGTTTCTGTAGGTTCTCATCAACTGAAAGATGATATATTGGCTGTGGTTCTTGAAATGCTGATATCTCGAAGTATCTTAGTTCTGGATTTATGCAGTTAGGATTGTTCATGTTAGGGTCTTTAGTCAGAAACTTCATATGCATTCTCATTTATGTGGTGGGATATCATATGCAAATGGTTCTTTGTGTGTTCCAAAATAAGAACATTTACAAGGTCTAGTTGATATGTTTTTTTGCTGCAGCTTTGCAGCTAGTTTTAATGAGAAGGTGATACGGACTGTAAGGCGTTTCTCCCCGCACTTAGCTGCAAAGATGAGACCTCCCCACATGTAAGAGTTCATTTCACTTGCTGCTACTACTCCATCCATGGAAGGGTTTGAGAGCTTTTTACATGTATTGTTTGTTAACCCTTGCAGGCCTGTCATTAGGGGACGGTCTTCAGCAAGAAAGACGATTTACATCTGTGGCCAACCACGCTTTGTTTCCGTCTTTATTTGCTTAGCCGGTACTCAGCATCCCTTGTCTCCCTCCCTCTTTGGTTTAGCATGTTCAACTGATCAAAAGACGTTGATTTCTTTGGTGTAGTCAGCCTTGTCTTGTGGTTTTCTTCTTGTGGATTGTTGTGGGTCCTCTATGCTCTTCTCGCTGGTATTCTCGGTGAGTTACTTGCACGGGCTTTATCGTAGATATCTTTTAGAAGGGTCGGTTAAATTCCTTTCCTTTTTAACAGGACTTTTTTCTCGATGCAGCTATCGTTCTTCACGCAAGCCTCAGAACTCCAAACCTGAAGGCACGTCTGAATACATTCCGTGAAGAATTCCGTGCTGTCTGGCGCAACTACAGTGAACTCTGAGACATAGGGGAGCTAAGCCGTTACTGTTTTCGAGCAAAGGGCATGTTGCAGTTACTGCAAATGATTGTAGTGAACCAATGTTGTTTTGGTTAGCCGGCGAATCTTAGGCCACTGGTCCTGAAATGCACATTCCTCTGTTTTGTCCGAACAGATATGGTTGCCCATGGGACGACTGGTTGTAATGTATTACTTGGAGAATCATGTTCAACACTTTTTTACAGTTTCTTAGTGGCCAAGTTTTAATTTAACCTTGCGGTTTCTACAAGTTTTTGCAGCAGATTATCATGAAGAGAACAGAATTTACATGTTTAAATATATAAAAAAAAACAATTTATATATCGAAATGCAAATTGAATCCAATATTACAAATTCAAAAATTAATCCATTTTCAATTATGATTTGAGACATCTACACTTCAATCACATGCTTAAATCCATTCCAGACAAGAAGGGAACTTTAAAGATTACATCAAACTATTCCATGAACACAGAGACAGCAGTAGCAGTAATAGTGGATCGAAAGCTGACATCAGCTACTGTGGTAGATAAGCAACAACCAGTGCTCCAACAATGACGCCGCCATGGATTGAACGTCAGGATCTCTGTGTTCATTCAGAGATTGCATCCTTAACCCGGCATCCGTCGACATAAGAAGATCACGTGTCACCCCCTGCGGAACTACGAACAGTCCTTTCAACGCCACTACACATCTTCTCGACTCCTCTGCACTCAGAATGCTACGCTTTTTCACTGCCTCGTGCGCTTCCTTCAAGGTCTCGTATACTTTCATATACTCTGTCGTCTTCGTCTCCATCTTCTTCTTCTGCTGCTGTGTATCATCACGAGCTTCAGGAATGGAGCGAGAATTCACCGACCCCCCATCGTTCTTCTCGACCTCTGTTTTGCCATTCTGAATCGAAATCTTCTTCTGGGTATCGCCCGATGTCGATGCTTTCTTCTTTTTACCCATGGAATCTTTGCCGTTCCTCGTCGATTCTGTTCTTATTCTGATCGGCGTCGTCTTCTTCTTATTCGGAGACCCTTCATCACGAAACGACGAGCAAGAAGAAGAAGAACCAGAGACACGATCTCTGTGTATACCAGACATGATGTTCCTCAGATGGGTGAGCACAGATCTCGCCTCGGAACGAATCTTAGCGTTGTCGTTCTTGGCAAGAAACAGAAGAGGGCAAAAGGCGTCGGAATCGGAGATACGACGAGAATCGAGGGGTAGAGATTTGATATGTCTAAGAGATCCGACGCAAGAGGTGGCTTCGCGAGAGACGGTGTAAGAGCCTTTGTCTCTGGCGGCATGGGCATCTCTGAGAGCGGAGCTGATGAGCTGTTCAAGTTCCGACATCCTCCTTGGCGGTCGTCTGATCTCAGTCTCACGTTTTCGAGGCAACTCACCGAGACTCGCCATCGTCAAAGCAAGCAGACGAGAGGCGACCAGAGGTTGAAGAAAGAGTGGGAAGAGGGAGGAATTTATAGAGAGGGAACAACAAATTCCAGATTTCAGAATGATTTGGATTTTCTGAATCCAGAGAAATGGAAACACTGAGGCTTCGTTTCCTTTTCTCTTCCTGTTTTGAATTTTTAGTTTCGCCAAGGAAAAAGGAAAGCGGAGGCACGTGACCTTTACTCCCTCACGTGACCTTCTGGGGACTGGCGGTAACGGTTACATTGTTACTTGGGTGCCAAGAAAACGCACACGAACAAATCCTAGCGACAAAAAAAATTAACCAAGTTTTTCCTTCGGTTTCATTATTGTAACTATAATCAGTAAATGTAAAATGATATCTTAGATTTATTTTTTCTTTTCCTTTTAAGAGCATGTGATATAAAATTTGACGCAGTAGAAGCATTTACCCTCCAACACCAAGAAAAAAATAAAACATTTAAAAAAACTAAATGAAGAAATGAATATATCCCAAAATTTTAGGATTTCTGAAATAATTTCCTATCGTCTCAGTTATTAAAATTGAAATTTGATCTCGTAACTTTGAAAAAAAAAAATAAAGATAAATTTTTATTTGTTTAATAAATATCTGTGTTATTTTAATAAAATGTTAAGATCAATTTTGTAACTGTTAGTGAATATATGTGGGACCACCATAATCTCATGTAATCCGTGCCTAAATCTATTGTTAATTCGGTTTATTAAAACCGAATCTAAAGATCGGAAATCCAAAAAAGATAATGGTAATTTTTGCCTTTACCCGAAATCGTCATCAAGCTTGTATTTACATACACAAGATTCTACAAGGACATCGCTGCGGTAATAAACACAATGGGTCCTGGATTCATGTAAATTTGCTTTCTTACATCTTTTTTCGACCATTTTCTCAGTAATTAGATAACATGCTTCAATACATAAACAAGAGTTTAAGAACTAAAACTCAGAAGCATCTGGTTTCCGAGTCTTTTTTTACTTGTAAGATTTCTTGAATTCCAAATCAGAGCTGGCCTGGAATGTAACCGTAGGGTTCCTCAAATGTCCACCAACGGAACAATCTACTGGTGAAAATGTGCAAAATATTTCAGACAGCAAGCAGCTTTTGTCTCAGAGCCAGTTGGGGACCATCTTGCTTGGTGTTGACGACGACATAGCCAATGAACTGTACTGAAGCTTTACGCTCTCCGCATTGTCCAGTGTCTTCACCACGTACCTGCAAACAAGTTTTCACTTTTCATTCACCCGAGGAGTCGGGTTTTCACTAGGGCTTGTCCAAAGGTTCCACTCTTTCTGTAGATATTACTAATGGTATTAGAGAATAGCATTAGTAGGACAGCAGGGATGCCCGAGTTTTACCAGCCGTTCAAGCATTGGGTGGTGATAACAGCTTCCCGTCCAACAAATCGAGGCGGTGTCCTCTTGTTTCCCTGACTCATTCGTCTTCGACAGTTCATTAACTCCGACATCTTTAGACATAGTCATTACATGAAGCTGCGACGGGGAAGAAGTTGTTTACCTTTATTATAACTCGATCCGCTACAGAAAATGGGAACTGATTACTTCTGTTTCTAGGATGACCTGTAGAAGTCGAGTTACCAAAAGCAGGCTTGTCCTGTATATGGAGAAGGAGACTAATTAGAAAAAGGAGAACTCTTGATGAACCTGAAGGCAGAAAAAATATGATGGATGAGGAGAGATACCGTGTCAGACCCTTCTCGTCTTCTCTTGGATGAGTGGCTCGACAGTAAATTTTCTTCTCGGCAGAATGCTTGTACTGCAACTCGTAGTGCTGGAATTTTTCAGAGCGTAAAATGACAAGGTGTTCCCCGAGATTACTAGATGTCAAATCATGAAGAGGGAACGATTACTCACTTAGGTTTGGAGTTATGGAGTCTTCTGAAACTGGCTGTGAACAGGTGAAGCAAGCTTTCTGAGAAAACGGCACGGAAGATGGACATCAGAAGTCAAATTGGGAAACGAAAAGAACCTATGTGCATGAAAGAAACCACAATCATAGAGATTTAAGAAAGAAAATCGATACCATCTGTTTAACTTGTTCTATCCCTCCAGCTCCGAAAGAGTGGCCACAAGGCAGAACCATAGCATCATCCATAAGAGCACCGCTGAGATTTGCAAAGAGAAAATTATGCTTGACCCAAATGCTTGCTCAAACTCAAAACAGATCAAAACCAATCCTTTTCACTTTCTAAGTATCATATGGCTTGCAATTCCAGTCCCTGATGCTTTGCTTGCATAAGCGTAAATGATGGAAACTAAGCATATACAGAGAGTGAGAAAAGGATCACAAACACTCAGACAACAGCACTGGATTTAGAATGCCCCACATGAATATTCAATTACTTTAGCACAGTGTCTCCGAAGCAAGGGATCAAACCGCATAAACACAATACCGACTTTTAGCATTAAAGAAAAAAAACTTACGTAGTGGGATCAGATAAAATGGCCCTTAATGAATCCACTGAATTACATGAAGAAGAAGCTTCTTTGCTGCAGCTAAAACCACACCCGTTTTCCACAGCTGTCACTTCCCTATGTCTAGAAGCAGAATTCGCTTCTGCTGTCTTAAAATACTGCGTGTAGAAAACTGCATCTTTTGGATCTGCAATTGTCACTGCATAGCATTTTCACAGAAAACCATGTTCTTAATGCCTCAAAGGTTGAAACTTTTCCCCATTAGAAACACAAAATGATCCCCCAAAACAGAAACCGACGGCTAAAGCGAAAAGGGTGACACGAAAAACCTAATTCCTTTCTCTTTTTATTTTTGATAAAATGTGATTGTAATTCGATTCTCTTACCAGCTCCTGCTGATGAACCTTCCCCTCCACCGCCTCTGCTCGACGCGTAATCTTGTACCGCGGCATGGGAATCATCGTCGCCGTCCATTTCATCGTCCTCTTCATCGTCTTCGTCAGCGTCCGATCCGCCGCTATCGTGAGGGTCTCCATGAACGGGATTCTCCAAGTAGAAGTCCCGCCGGAACTCGGAGTGAGGATGAGGAACCGCTGCAGCTGCGGCGGCTACTGCGGCGGCGGCGGCGGCGAAGTACCGGCGGTGATCACCGATAAAGGCGGCGAATTCGCGGGTTTTAGGGTCCGGTTCACCAACCCGGAACCGCAACGGGTCAGCGTCTTGGACGGCGAGCGGCGGTGGCGCGTTGCCCAACTGCTGCAACGGCACCGGAGAAAGCTCCTTCCCTGACATGGGTCAACCGAAATTAATCTAAAATTAAGGAGAAACGGGGTAATTAATCACGTAACAAAGGGATGAACAAAGGTTTCGGATTAAAGAGAAACAGAAAGGGCGTCTCGAAGATAGAGGTGAGCGAAAAATTTCTCGAACACGGAGGAAAGAGGAAGAGGAAGACAACACGAGAAAACGACGTCGTCGGCGGCGAAGATAAAAAGGCAAAACGGTGACGTATAAATCCGGAAATTTAAGTGGGACCCACAGACTGGCTACCTGGCATTTGTTTGTTGGGCGTTTACCCGTTTGAAAGAATAATGTACAACGACACGTAGTAGACTCGTTTAAGACAGAAACGCCGTGAATTCTGGATGCATTCGTCATATATTACGCACCTCAAGCGAGTTCGAGTTCACTCTCACTTGGTTATCGTCTCCTCCAATTTCAGACGGAAAAATGGTCGGAGAAGCTCTGCCCGCCTCTGCTACCACTCCGTTTGCCTCATTCAGGTATTGTTCCTACTTGGATCTCTCTCGTGTTTGTTCGATTTCCCGACCATTGTTGCATTTGTCGGAATCGATTTTGGGGATTGTTGATAGATTTTTTTTTTGTTGGTAATATTGGCTCCCAAATGGGATTTGAACCTGGATTGAAAGCACTTTGTGCAATCCAACCACTAGGCCACCCCGCTTGGGTTGGATTGTTGATAGATTCACATTCGCCTGCGGTCAAAGCCTTAGATTGTCTCTATGATGAATTATTGTAAGAAAAATTGCATATAACGGATCGGATTTTTGGAGAAGGCGAGTGCATGTCTGTGGGAATTTAATGTGTTGTTAATTCTCCGACATGTGCTGAAGGCTCAGTGCTGGAAGTTGTAGAACTTCTGTCGCATTGACTACGGATACGAAACACCTTTCTAGTGATGTACAATGACTAAGCATCATTGTGAAGAAACTGGAACAGGGAATGCCTTACCGTTTATTGAGGTCCTTCTTTTTCTGATTCACATTCCAGGAAATGTTAGGGAATCAATTCGACATTCCAGCCTTACCCATTTAATCTCCTCTTGGTAGGTTGCGCAAAAACATCACGGAGAGCAATAGCTGCTTTCAATTGGTTTTATTTCTTATCGGTTTGCTGCTGCTTTCGTTCTGATTTTGTTGTGGGTGTTGCAACTTATTGTCCAACTTGTCCCAAAAGATCACGAGTGGATTGTTGTTGGTTGTTGTTTCATCATTGCTCCAGAGCACTACCGTTTTTGGTGTTGTCTTTCAGATGGCCTGTCCAAATGGAAGATGTTAATTCTGTATATTTTAATTTGCTTCCGCAACTTTTTAACTTTTGTAGCTTCAGTTTGGATTCATATTTGGTATATTATCGATTTATATACTCTTGCAGTCTTGCTCCTCAGTTGTAGTCATTTTGTGAGAGCCAGGGGTACATTGTTCTGTGAATTGTTTTCTGAATCTAGCAGCTACCTGTTAACAACAACATTGTAAAGAGGTTTCAGGATTTATAGATCTTAGATTTGGTTAAGCGGGTGAAATGTTGATCTTTCTTGTGTTTGGTTTTTTCCTTGCAGCAATTCGAATGTCCAAGCGTACCCTATAGATTGTAACATTCAGAAATTCTAACACACTGAGTTGAAATGCTCATACTCTTAAGCATGCAATAGAACTTCAAACTGAAACTACCAAAAACTTTTATGCAGATAGATAGCACACTGAAAGGTTTTATCTTTTCTACACGTTTCATATTCGATGCAGAGTTCTGTCTATTGATACAAAACTCGCATTGATATGCGTTGGAAGATGGAAGATTCTGTCTGAGCTCTCTGTGAAATGCTTCTGACTAAAAGTAAGGTTTTTAGTTTGACAGGTGCGCGTCAATGAATCATATGGTTGAAGTTCTCAAGACAAGATTGCAGTTCTCATGAAGCAGCCTCTGTATTCTGACCGCAACACGAGGCTCTTAGCTCCGGACATGAACATGCTGCAGGACCAGCGGATCTCCATTGGGTCCGATAGAAGGATGGGATGGTATAGCGATATACTTTGTAAGACCTCTCTGAACATATTTCTTTTTATAGTAAAAGTCAATTCATCACACCACAGCGCATTGAAGGGTGTAAAAGTCGGAGAACGAATGAAACATTGTTACAAACATCAGGATCCCCATCTTTGACTATACAAAGAAGCAGTAACTGTAAGCTCTTTCATGTATAACATGTTTAAATTGCAAAAAATGTTATCGTTTATTTTACTTATAACATGAACATCAGAAACAAACCCTTCACCTGTACACATGTGCAAGAAAGAATGATAAAATCAAAGGCAAAACTATCCATTGCAGCAATAGCATCCTTGTAGATTCAGTTCTTCAATGTTTGATCAGAATCTGAGATCCTTGGAGAAGGAGGGGGCTTGGAAACTTTAAAGACTTGGCTCACGGTGGAATACCCCATTAGCCGGTGAAGCGGGGAACCTCTAGCCACTGGCAACTCCTCATTCTTAGCTGAGGAGCTCCTCTTTTCCAGTTTTGGGACTTCATTTCTGGAAGACCCTGATGCTGAGTTGCCAACCCCGTGAGCATTTGTGTCTGAGTTGCCAACCCCGTGAGCATTTGTGTCATGACACGACTCGGGCCGAGGGTCTCTCACGGCAGGAACTAAATGAGTTCCGTCTTTAAGGGAGAATCTCAGGACATTCATACAAGCGCCGCATCTGAGAAGATGATACTTCGTCCTGAAGACAAGAAAGTCTGCAGGCATGTGTAATGTCTGTGAGCAGTGGTAACAGCTTGTATAAGGAGCACCACCAGCTGTAGGGCGGACATGACGCATTGCCACGGGTTTTCTCTCTGTCAGGTATGTTTTTACCTCATGGCTGCCATGCCTATGCCGATCCTCTGCATCAGAGACTATCTCTCGGCTCCATCCAGGGCGGTACTCAGGTTCCGTATTTGTCTGTGGACTACCAGGATATGATGAGCCATAAGAAGTATGGAGCTGACCTGCAAACCAACTTGGGTGACCGACATGGTGCCTTCTGTCCATCACTGACTCTCCTGAGAATGGTATGCGAGATTCCCTATTTGTCTGACCCGAATCACTTGCTGTGGTATGTATGACATAACTAATGTCATGGTACATGCGGTCAAAACCAGGACCAGAATGTCTACGCCCACCATATGGAGGCATTTGAAGCGGGAATGGTCGGGAATGAGCATCAAAGTCATCGTGTGAATGATAGAAAGGGCTACCATGCTCGTATGAACTGGAAAACGAGGGTCCTTTCTGATAGTAAGGCAAGTAAGAACGGAAGTCCCGTGTCCCTAATCTACGCCAGTGCCTATCTAGACGGTCTCCTGATCCTTCTAGTTGTAGTGACGTATTATTCTGGCCCGAGTTCTTGTGTCTGTTCCCATCATGCTTCTCTTCAGGTGGGATGGCTGAAGAACTTGCTCCTTGCTCCTTGTTATCAGAGTGATCTTGCATTACAGATTTGCCTCTCACTCTTCCTTCCAGAGAAGGTCTTGCACTATCATCTACACTGTCAAACAAACCGATTTGGCCTTCTTGAAGCCGATCTTCCCTTCCGTCAGAAGAAGACACACTCCCATCATAAGCGGAAAAGGTTTTGTCTGCAAGAAAATCTCCACTCTGAAGATCATCTGTAGAATCCCCGTGAAGATGGCCATGGTAATCATTCCCCTGACGCTGCTCCACTTCGTCAGTAGAAGCCATAAGAATCTCAGGTGAGGACTCGGCTCTTTTCCTAGGGACAGAAAAAGAAGTCTCTCTTGAGCTTCCGGAATTGGAACCTTGTTTTGCAGATACTGCCTTGGTGTCCTGATCAGCCTCCAGCCTGTAGATGTCTCCTCCTTCATTCTGGCCCGGATGGCCAGCTGAAGTTCCAGACGGTTGGATATCATCAGTTTGCTCTCCGTGGGACAATTTGACGGTAGCGAGCTGCTCATCTATGGAATCCACATATCCGTTCTGGCCATTCCCAGGCTCTTGGCCTGTAGAAAATTCTCCACAGGAAGGAGCAACCATGTCATGGCTCGACCTGGTTGACCCTTCAACTTCAGAGACACGCTGTGACTCACTAGGCTGAACCTCTCCTGCTTCTGCTGAGCTCGGTGTACAATTGGCACTGACATTCCGTTTTTTCGCTGCACCAAAGAAATCCGCCACAGAGAAGCCAAAGGATAAGTTCAAGAATCTGAGCAGTGATCAGGGTCAGACAAAACCCCGAAACACAACTAGCTTGAACTCGAGAATCAGACCAGATGGATCCCGGGACAAAGGAACAGACAAAGCAGAATCAGATTCAGTAGCTTGTGCCAGGATCCAACCAAAATTTTCTATTAGAGAAACTGATACTAATGCTTGTGGAAGAGGATTACCTTCAAGAATGGTGAAACAGCCACCACATTGGTACACAGGTACGTCTTCGTTCTCAAGTAGAACCCTCAAGCACCTCGGACACTTGACGAAGCGGACTTTCGGGTTCGTTCCGGTCGCCATTTTTTGCACGCAAGCTAAGTGTGTCCCACGTGTTTTTTATCTATCAAAACATCGAACCCTACTGTGCAAATAAAACAAAAATCAACACTTTCCTGAGTTGATGATGCATTTGCAGGAGATTGAACAAGCAAAGCATATCATTCTGTAGCCAGAAAATGAAGGTCAACGAGGGGGCATAACTGTGCGATAACTAAACTCGATTCAAAAGGTAAGAAAAAATAAACAATTTTTTTTTTTGTGATTCATTGGTAACGGAAAGATCTGGGAATTGTACCTGAACTCGGATGTTTCTGAGTTCGAGAGGCCGGGTCGCGATCTGGGTTGAGCGCAAATGGAGAAGATAACAGAGACCAGAGCAAATTATAATTATGAATAAACCATAAAGACACCAGCCACGAGACGAGCACAACTCATACCTGTCGGATCCAGAAGAAGAAGAAGAAGAAGAAGAAGAGAACTCTTTACGAAATCTCGAAACTCAAGAGAGAGAATGAAGTAGACCCAGAAGAGAGAGAGAGAGAGAGAGAGAGAGAGAGAGAGAGAGAGAGAGAGAGAATTCTTGTCGTGGGCAAGAAGAAGAAGAGAAGATCTTGGGACGAAGAGAGAGAAGAAACCAAATTTGGACAGGTTTGGATGTGTTGTGTTGTTTCTTCTTATTTTCCATGGGAGAAAAGTCTCTTGTTTTCCGTGAAGAGTAAGCTTTTTTCCTCTCATTTTTTTTTTCTCTTTTTTTTTTCTTCTGGATTTTGTAGTTTTCAGATCTCTTAGTAGAAAAACCTATTTCTTGTTTTTTATATATATATTTTAAAATTTTCTGCAACAGAACTAAAGACAAAGAAGAAGGAGAGATGGATGGGGTTAAGTTGTAATGGCAGTAATGATGTCGGCGCCTGATTCATTTATTACAAGGGAAGATATGATGAGCCATAAGAAGTATGGAGCTGACCTGCAAACCAACTTGGGTGTTTGTTTTTTTCTTAATTACATTAATAAATTGAAAATCTCCCGATGCATCAATTGACTTAACATAGAATTCTTGTCCCAATAGATTGTTATATTATATATATAGATATGAATATGATCCACGTGACAAATGATCTTAGGCATGGCGTGCGAAAAAATTGTCCGATTTGGAACTACAAGGCCTCAATTTTTTTTCCCACATTATAGGGTCTCAATTAATATTTTAAAATTTTGGTATTTTAAACCATCAAAGCTACAAATTTAAGCATCTTATGAATACTATTATTTAAATTACATAACTATTTTTAGGATATTCGATTGAAACACGAAGAAAATGCCTAAAAACTTATAATGTTGTATTCAAATATTTACATGTTTTTTTAACATCAGTTCTTACAAAAAGAGAGTGATAAAATACCTTTTTTTTAATTGATTGATAAAATATATGAACTTACTAATATTTAATTAACCCTACGCGGTTATTGTATATTAATACGTTAAAAAATACCAATTTTTTAAACAGCTGATATATTTTAAATATTATATTTTTCTTTCATTATCCCAAAGAAAAATAAGCAAAAAAAAATATTCCGTTTACATCCCAACTAGAACCGATATATATATATTTTTTGTTATTTCACCACGAATTAAAAAAAAAAGAATATTAATAACAAAACACCAGGGTATTTTGTGTGGAAGACAAGATTCTTGGTTGTCGTTTGTATCTTTTAGACTGTCGTTTTTTACTTCCATTTTCGGCCCTTTTAAAGAAGTCAACCTTGTGGTTTCCACATGTCCTCACACCTTTACAACCCAACCTAGAGATGATATGTACATATATATATATATATATATATTACATGAGAGTTGTAAATATATGGAAATGAAAATATTTCATGTTAATTTATTTTTGGTTCCATTAAAGGGTTTTAAATTTACTAATTTATCTATGAAAACCATTATGCAACAACCGATGACATTAATCTCCCACGTAGTCAATGTTCTAATATCATTTTGAATTGTTATAACTGGTTGACCAGAAAAATATTCGGCAAACATAAAGTAGATTCGAAGAATTTTTTCTTCATGTAATTAATATTTCAACCAATAATTCGTAATTAATAATTAAATTTATAATAAAAGAATGGGAATGAAGCATATACTATATATTCCATGACTTAATATGCCAATATCGTTTTACTTCATCAATTTGCATAAAATTATTGAATGTTAAAATTAACATTCGAAATTTCAGATGCCGCAAATAAAATACTGAAACGAAGGATTTGAAATTTATATTTTGATAATGTTTCTATACAGATCAAATCAATTGGGTGATTAGTTAAAATTTTAATCCTCGTGATATGCGGATTACGATTATTAAACAAAGAAAAGATACAAACTCAATGTATCGAAAATAGGGGCAGGTAAAAATTATCTGTTTTCAAAATATTAGATCCGACTTATATAGATTGAGTATCGGCTAAATGTGACGAAATGCGACGAAATGGGTTATATAGATTTCACATAAATTTTAAATAAATAATCTATAAATATTAAAAAAATACAAAATATTCAGGTTAATATCGATCACCTCCAAATGCCATATATATATATATATGGATAAAAATCCTAAAAAACCTCTAACTTGCAAAAATATATACAAATAAATCTTCAACTTGAAAAACTGTCATTCAATCCCTGAACTTGTAACTTGTCACTGAATAAAACCTCGAACTTGTAAATTATTGTTCTAATAAACCTTTCACCGGTTTGACCACAATTTCAGACGATCATAAATTCACGTATTAACGGATTGTTGATGTCACCTTATACACGTTATCAATTTTAATTTAAAAATTGACATCAACAATCCGTTAATACTGGATTTCCGATCGTTTAAAATTGTGGTCAAACCGGTCAAAGGTTTATTAGAGCAATAATTTGCAAGTTCGAGGTTTTATTCAGTCCTATGGAAAACGTCTCTCAGCAAAGTTGCGGAGAGGAAACAAACAATCGGGTTCTTGTCGAAATGAACAGGGAGCACGTCCACGCTTCAGTACCTGTGCTCCAACTTCTCCTTCTCCCTGTAGTGTTGAGCATACCTGCGTCGGATTTCAGAAGATAGATACATTAATGGCAGAGCCATGGTTCACAAGGGAGACAACCGAAATGGCAGTAAAACTCTTGTATGGGCAAATAATAGACACCAAAATGCACAAGGGTCAGCAGCAAGTGGCATCAATGAGGAATTGAGAAATGATCAAGGAACAGAACACAGAGCAATTAGATTCCTGAACCTCTTACGAAAGAAAATGCCAAATGCAAGCCAATGCGTGTTGGTTCACAACCTATATCAATCGATTCCTGAAAATGCATCGAGCCTCGAGCGGAGGCCCGCTTCACACATCTCAATACCGATTCAACAATACAACACAGGCGTGGGACAATGTGTCGTTCTCATCCTTATTCCTATCCTGATTCAGGCTCTACCTGTGCACTCAGCTACTACACTGTCGTCAAGCTAATAACTTCTCGTAGTATCTCACATCTTCAATACCAATATGGTTCATCCAGTGTCTCATATATCTACAATGCCTGTAGAGATCATGGAGACCATGACGCCAGATCGCAAAAGACCTCTTGAAACACACATCATCACAAGGAAAACAAACACGTATGCTGCAGAGGTTCCGATCATATCACCGCCCAACAAAAAAACACGATTACCCTCTATCCAAATCTCCAATACGCATCTATTCCATACCCTACAATCTGTTACAACCGGAACGTAGAAAGGCTGAAATCATCAGATCGGAGATCTCCAAAAGAAAAGTCTATCCATCAATTCACTGAACGGTAGAGAGAGAGAGAGAGAGAGAGAGAGAGAGAGAGAGAGAACCAGTAGGTGCCGAGGACAGGGGTGAGGAGGAGAGAAGCGCTGATCCAGTTCTCGGAGACTTTGTGGTGGATCTTCTCCGGTAGATCTTTCCAGAGGCCAGTCATCACCTTCTGCTGGAACGGAGACAGGGCGTAGACCACCGCCTTCATCCTCACCGGCTGTTTCCCCATATTTCTTCTTCTCCTCCGACAATTCAAGCAAGCAACTTTCTAAGACGACGACGACGAAGCTTCAAACCTATGGTTTTGAAGGGACTAAAACGCTGTCGGTTCAAGGACAACGACGATGTTTGGTATTTGAGCTACCCGGTTAGTTTATTCTGGAGTAGGACCACACTAAATTCAAAACCAAACAATCCGTTTCTCCTCGGTGCTCTTTCCACTAGCCACGTGTCCAAACTTACGCTGACGTGGCACCTTTCGGAGCAAAATGTGGATGGATCCGTGAGAGTTCCACTGTTCATGGAGTAAGGGGACGACAGAGGAAGAAGAAGATGCAGATCTTCCATGTTCCATGTCTGCAAGACAACTACTCTTACCTGTGAGTGATTCTCTCTTCTTTCTTCGATGTTCATCCGTATTTGATTTCATGATGATTTTGTTTGATTTCTTTTGTATGGGGAAAAAGGATAATCGACGAGAGCAGCGGAGATGCGGCGGCGGTGGATCCGGTTGAGCCGGATAAGGTGATTGGAGCGGCGGAGCAGCACGGCGCTCAGATCAAGCTTGTTCTGACCACGCATCATCACTGGTACTCATTTTCAGGTTTATTTTTGTTTTGCTCAAATTCGATGCATTTTGATTTGATGATCTCTGAGAAACATGTATAATTTGAGGAATTACTGTAAGATGCAATAGCCGTGCTGGATTAAATCTTCGATTTTTTAAGAACGAACAGAAAATCTCGTTCTCCTTACAATTTTTAGGTCAAGTAATGGGATTTAGAAGGATGTCGTAGCATTTGGGTTTCTTAACTTCCCATTTTAGGAGGTACCCACTTGTAGAATCAACGAATACCGGAGTTATCTCCGTGGCTGAATCTCTTTGTTGAAGCTAATTGATATTAGAGAATGCTTTGGTGCGTCCCAAAGCTGGTCCTTGTTCAGATGTTTGAACGCGTTCTAAGGCAGACACACCAAGCATCGCCTCTTGAAGCTGAAAGATTGGGATTACATTCATGCACAATTTCTATTACATGCATTCATCGTATGGTTAATGTTAGTTTGATCGTGTCTGATGGGTCAGGATTTGATGCTTTTTTACATTTGGGTTGTGGTTTCTGAATTGGTGATTGATATTTCTTGACTCGATGAAAGGGACCATGCTGGTGGAAACGAGAAGATTAAGCAGTTGGTGCCCGGGATCAAAGTATATGGAGGTTCTCTGGATAAGGTGAAGGGTTGCACCGATACAGTTGACAATGGTGACAACTTGGCTTTGGGTGTTAATCTGAACATATTGGCCCTCCACACTCCTTGGTATGTTCCATTCCGTTATTGTCTTGACATTGACAATGCTCGAGCGATCTATTTCAAGATGATGCTACACTTTCTGCAGACTTTGGCTATTTTTTTCTCAGAATCTTGAATTAGACTGTTTATTTATGTCTCGGACAAGCTATCTTGTGTTACTTTACTTGTTTCTTTTTCATTATTGAACAAAATCACATTCCATACCCCTACGACACAGTTTCGTGCTTCGCATTTAAATGGTGTTTGCTCTGACATTTGTCTAATATATATGCTGTGTTTTACCAGTCACACAAAAGGTCACATTAGTTATTATGTGACTGACAAGGAAGGAGGGAACCCGGCTGTTTTCACTGGAGACACACTGGTAACATAAAATCTCGATGCCCTTCTTTTTCTATGTTTCTCTATGTCCCATTTTAATGAATTCTCTTTGTGTTGAAGTCAACATTGTAGGGAA